AATTATTGCCGATAGCTACTACTAGATAAGCTACTTTATCGCTCCACGTGCTCTATCGCAGGTTGATTTTACACTTGAGTGCAACATCTTATTGCTCTTTATGCGTGGATCTGATCTTTTCACGGCTGTCTACGTGAAAGAAAATCTGACATTTTACCTGGCTATGAAAAGATAACATCTAGGCCGCAGAGGGTAAATGCCAGATCCTTCCTGTCAGTGTAAATAATCCTATCAGATTTAGAATGACGACAGGGGGGAGTTTCTGCCTTTTTTTTTTTTTTTTTTTTTTTAAAAATCAAAGAGGGGGTGTTATATGCTTGGTCAAAGTAAAAAAAAAGATTCAAATCCAACAGCTTCTGTTCCCCTTTTGGTCAGTTACCTCTTCCTCAGAGGGATGATTGTACATCCTACCTCAGTTCCACCCTCTCTGACTCACAGGTCTTACATTCAGCTCAGGCTTAAACCAAAGACATGACCTAACGGTATCTGTAAGGGTGAAGTCAACCGCGTGAAATCGGACAATGCTGCCCCTCTAGCTACCCACGCCAAACAAACAGAGCTATCCAGAGCCATGCACAAACTCTGGCAAAAAAGAAAAACAAGGCTTTTAGAGCCACACAAGGTTGTCTGTGCTCTTGTCTGGAGCTTTGCAAACTGTGACATTGCTGCCGACCATCTGGCTCTCTTCCGGAGAGCGGGCTGCTTGATTAAAGAATACAATTAAAGTTGAATTGGCTCGGTCGGCTCACCCGGGAGGGATTAACAAGCGCACCTATTCGTTTCACTTGACACACCTTTTTCTCCCTCCATTTTCTATTCATAGAAATATCTTTGTCCTCTCCCTCTACAAAGAAAATCCTCCACTCCGTTCACCCTGCTTAGTTACAATTACTCACTTACGTGTATGCACTGACTACTGATCGGTTTTAAAAAAAACAGCAAAAACAGCAAATCCTCTCTGCTCATTTATTCCCTTTGCGTCTTTCCTTCCTTCTTTTGCCCTCTCTGTCAGTACCTGTGACATCCTCTCGCGGTGCTTGGCCTCCAGGCTCTCTTTGGCCTTCTGGAAGTGGGCGTGTTCGTTTTCATCAGCAGGTGTCTCCAGGTAGTGGTCCACGGCGTCAGGGGAGCTGGGCGTGGCTGTGGGTACTGAAGAAAAAAAGAGGAGGCAGGGAGGTGAAAAGACATCTCAGTGCAGCTTTTTTTTTTTTATTTGGCTGATCTGGGACTGGCTGTGATGCGATGCCTCAGCACACACAAAAGACAAAAACACAGAGTCCAAAATGGGTAAATAGGGTTAGTGGGAGATCAGGAGAGAAAGAAAACAAGATAGTAGCTGTAGCTGGAAGCCAGCCCCCCTCCAAAAGCAAACAAGTGAATGCCTCAGATGACCCTTAGTCCTTTGTAGAAGACAGACAAAACCCCTCTCTCATTTATATAACTGGATTCAACGCAGCGCTCATGCCAACACACTGACGCTGGAATATATCCTGTGGGCTCGAACGCACACACTGACTTACCAGCAAGAAATGGACCGCATGTTGGGCAAAACCTGGATTTAATCAGCAGAAAGTTGATTATTTTCCACATTAGTGCTATCAACAGAAGTTGGAGATGTGTGTGTGTGTGTGCGAGCATGAAGGTCACCGTCATGTGAAATGGGTTACGACTGATGAGAGGGCATGACTGCACAAGACATAAAAACAATGTAGAAGTGTTATTCACTTTGACCTGAGGCGAGAATTTGGTTAGCCTCTGTTCCCCAAAAGCATTTAAAGGATAAGTTCAACCCAGTTACAAAAAAATACATTTTTCCTCGCTATCCTCGAGTGGGAACACGCACATAGTTTTGGTTTTATTCACCCAGGTTTAAGATTTCTGCCTCGAACCCAACACAATGGAGGTGAGTGGAATGTAGCTTGTGGTGCGTCACAGCATTTAAATACATTCAGTTTCATTCAATACAACTTGTGTCCTTGTTACTCTGGGTAAAACACAAAACACACTGAACAGTTCTCACAGGGGCCATTTCTCTGGTGGAAAGTAGTTCTAATCAAACGTAAAAGGACATTTCTTGAGGAAAAAGATACCCATGTGAATAAAAACTATCTGCACTACACCAGTTAGACACCACAAGAGGTAAGGAGAGTGTTTCTTTTTTGTACTTTGCGTGAACCGACCCTTTAACAACTGTACACTGTATTTAAAGTGGTATTCTATTAAGTCATACATTTTCCAATTTGCTGTTATCATTGCTTTTGAGCATTCACTGTTGTACCGTTTCTAGGCTGTATAATCTTCAATAATTGAAGCACTCACATTTTTTTCCTAAGAATTTCTGTTTACTTCGAAATTACCCAACCAAGTGCACGACATTACTTTTTATTTGAGTGCTCCAAAATGGATTCAAAAGCCCACAATGGAAGTAAAATTGCTATGTTCATGAATTCTTGTGAGAAATTCCACAATGCAACGCTTTACTTTTTTTAGATGTGTGAATTACAGTTAAGAGACGCTACAGCTCGCAGTGATGGTGCAAAGTGATGGTAGCTCATAAACATAATTGCCTGAAATATCAATTACCCAGATTATAAAGTAAACTACTAAGTGTTAATTGTGTAGGGAACTGTGAAAGACTGAACAAACATGAATTCCCTTGTTGTTGACCAAAAATATGAAGTGCATCACTTCATAAGTGCTGCAGAACTTTCCCTAAGTACAACCTTTTGGAGCAGTGAAAGCTATCATTAACCGGACGAAGAACTAATCAATATTTTGAGACCACACGAAGATGCAAAAGTGACATTTGCTGTATGAAAATTACGTTGATTACTGCAATTATCATGTGCTTAATGTTTACAAAAAGCTACAAAAAAAAAAAAAGCTGCACTGAGAGTGATTGTGAATCATTGTTAATTGACCACAAATGCAAGTACATGGAGTGTGTGTGTGTGTTGGTGTGGGGTGGGGGTGGGGGTGGGTTGGATGAGCGAGCACGGATTATTTACTGCCTGAAGTTGGCAGGGTTGAGCCTCATTGGGGTAATTTACAAGCAGGCTCTATTGGTGGTGCCTTTTTAAAAGGTAACAGAATGGCCAAGTGAAACGTAAGCACAGTCAGCACTCCCCCAGGAGCCGAGAATCCCAGGAGCCCCCAAATATCCACCAGCTTTGTTACAACTGAACACTAGCTCCTTTTTAATAATTCTATTGTTCTCTGGACATGCTGTGATACATGGTTACTGCTTTTCACCTTTACTGTAAATACAACTATTATCTTTTACTGCAGTGTACTTTTCCTATTTCCACACACGTCAGTCTCTTTGATTTGGTGTTGTTTTTAGTTCTGGGCTGCATTCACTTGAAACTGTGTCTGTGTCTCAATCAATTACTTCAGATTCAGTTGCCTAAATCACATGAAATCTTTGACATAGCAGTGGCCTTTAGCTACAACCTGAAAGATTTTGTGGAAACAATAATATAAATGTTTTTTTCTTCTTGTTACTTTTGTTTGTCATCATGAATGAGATTTAATGTGTTTAATTTGTTCCTCGCTAACATGCTTGCGAGCCTCCCTTGATTATGTGTTTGGTATTCTGTTGTTTCAGACGTAAGAATTTAAGGGAAATGAGAAAATGCCCCCCCCTTTTTTTTTCAGCAAATAAGTGAAAAGGATGTCTGTACTCCTTGCTTAACTAAAGACAGATGTTGATGCTCAGCAGACACTGCTTTTCAAAACAAATGGAATTTTGCCCTTCTCTGCGTGTGTTTTCCTCATTTTAATATCCATATGAGTTTAACAACCTTGAGTGCGTATGCTGTAGGAGTTTATTTCGGTTGGAATTAATGTGTATTGTGAGGCATCTTTTCTAAATTAAAGCTGACCTGACATATGGCTCCTTGATGTCATAAACAGCAGCTCCAGACTCTGGACCTGGGAAAACCCAAAATTCTTAGTTTTACTCACTCTAGACAGCTGCCTCTGGTGTAGTGTTCAACAGGATCAGTATAGAATCCAAAAATGCAATTTCATATAGTGTTGTTGACCTCGACTGGCAGTCCCATCAGAGTGACAGGAGCAACAGTTGCAATTCTGTCAATTCTGGTAACATTTAAAGCTGTGCTTTCATGCAGACAAAAAGCCAATGGAGGTGGAAATGAAGGCACAATACCATATTTTTCTGTTTTCTAAATTTATTTGTTGACTTTGTGGCACCTATGGCATTATGTGGAGGGTGGAGGGGTGCATCTGAGGTTGTGTTTATGCAGATCAGGTGCTGCAGTTAGTTTTTAGGTGCCCTCCTTGATATGTACCTTTTTTTTTTTTTTTACCATATATCATGTCTAATCCTGTCATCTCTCACACAAACACCAGTACTCACCTCTTTTCAAGTTGTATAAACTATTTTTAGGATTTCATGATTTTCATGACTAATGTAAATGTCTCATCTAGTACATATTTGAATGCACATTCAGTCAGTAATGCAGTACGGCATTAATTACTTTGTACCTGCATTATATGTAGATACCTTTTACCAATATTTTCATTCACAACTGCTTGTGGGTTGTATGACAGACTTGATTTTGCGTTCCTGAAATCCCTGTAGACATACAGCAGCAAGATACATGACAACATGTGTTGGCAAACTACAGTGTCTAATTTTTCGGATGTAGTGTGTTCAGTTACCTATGGGTCCAAAAGTGTACCTTAAATTAATTAATAAATTATCTTGCTCTCAACCTTTTTGAGAAGGATTATACTTGTGTCTTGCATAAAATAATTTCACTACATTCACGTGTGTTTGCACTCCAAATGTGTGCTTTCCTTTGCAGATGTATCTATTTCAGGAAACAACCTTTTTAATCAGTTTTTTCATCTGCATGTCTCAATTCTGGCTGTCAACTTGAGAGAAAATGTGATGGTGATGGGATTACTTAAATAACATTTGTGTGATAATGTTGAGCTTGGATTTTGTTTTCTTGTCTCATCTCCTCTAATAGAAAAGCCAACCTGATACTACATAGGGTGGAAAAGATTAGCCACTACTGCCGGTCCCTCCTGCGCAGCACCCATATCCAGAGCCGCACCGACACCATGGCGTATGTCTACTGCCGGAGTGAAGAGGGCCGACCTCCCAGTAACACGTGGCATGGCTCTTTACATGAAAGTCGCACCATGTGCATGGAAAAGCTCATTTCTGTACAGCGTAACACATACAGCAACACCAAACTCCGATGAGACAGGAGTTTCAAGACGAACGGTGCGCTTTTTTTTTCTTGCAAAATGACATCAGTGATTGATGTACCTCGTCACCCACTCTGCAGCAGGTGTCTCTCAAGTGACTGATTGATTTTGGAAAAACCAGGAGAGCCTAAAAAACCTCAGAATTCACTGGACATTGTGTTGAAGCTACTGAAAAACATATTTTTGTGTGGCCTACTTTTATTATAAGACAGGATATGGAAAAGGAAAAAAATAACAGGAGCGAACATATTTCTCAACTGCAAAATGCCAGTGATTGCACATATCAATGAGAAACTGCAGTGTGGACATGTAAAATATCATTCAGCCGAGAGAAAAACAGGTTGGCTTAAATACTTTGAATGTAATAATGTAGTTCCTTTTCGGTGCTTTGAAGCTTACCTGGAACACTTTAAAAGAGAGAAAAAAAAGGAAAAATCAATAGCATAACTTATTTGCCTTTACTACCTTCATTTGAAAGGAGAAGTTGAAATGTGTTAAAGCCATTTGAAAATCACTTTCTTGTTTTCAAGTTCACATTAATTAAAAGTTTAAGCTCTGCTTCATGGATTTAAAATCAGTAAGTGAGAAACTATGTAGTTAGTCTTGTATTACATTTGATAGGTTCAATTAAATTAGCAAGGCTTTGTGTGGTAACAGTATTGACAAATGGGCTACTACCAGCCTATTGAAATTATGCAAAGAGAGTGGGTGGCTTTAAAATGTCATATTCATTCATAGACTTTTCATTACTGATTTAACTACTGAAATATTGGAATCATTTTGTCATATCTCTTTTTTAATTGCAGTACCCAAAATAAATACGACTGAAAAGGAACTAATTTCAGACTAGAATTGACCTGAATGCTTTGACCCCAGACAAAAAAATACAATGTTTTTGCCACACTGAAGTAAATGCTTTATATAATGTATTGGCTTTTGGTATGTGACTGAACACAACAATGGTATTGACACTGAAAAAAATAAATCAGATGCTGTAGCTAGATTTAATGATGTCTGCAAGACCATGTAATATTCTTGTAATCTAATAAATTACAACTTGTTGGTGGAATATGACTTTTGTTATCATGGCAGAAGTCATCAGCTGACAAGGTATGCTAATTGACAAATAGTCACAATGTGGGCAAATTAGTGATCTGAAAATCAGACTGACTATACTAAATGCATCTTTGAAAGGTTCCTCCCTCACTGTAGAATTTGATATTTGCTTATGTGCGCTCATAGAAACTATAGCAGGATAATCCTTTTGAGGAACATTTGCTCGAAAAGTTTGTGTTGAACCAGTTGTAAACATGTGAGGTACTGTCCACTGAATTGTGAAGAATCAGTGATTTTAGGGATTTCTTGTGATCCTTTTTAATCCTCTCATTTTCATTGTCATACCTTTAAAGCCATGAATATTGTTTTAATGAAGATAAACAATGCCTTTTTTCAGTACTTTCATCTCATGTTATATGAATTGTAATAATAAATTATTATATTGTAAATTTTAAATTGTAAAAAAAAAGACATATGTATTATTATGTGGCTTTGATTGTCTTTTTCTGAAGAATGTGAAATATTAAAAATGTATATAAAATCAGAAACCTTCTTTCATCACTACAATGAAATTCACAGTTTAAAAATCAATCTTACTCGAACAGGTGTGAAATCTTTATTTGAAACAATGTTAACATCACAAGTTGCACATATTTACTAATTTTTGTTGTTTTTCACCTTTTCCTCCCAAGACAGCAAAAGTTCCGATTCAATATTGAGTTATGGTCAAAAAGATTGTTATACGAGGTTGAAAAGCAAACTTAAATCAACATTTCTAGTCGCAGTTTTATGTTTTATGTTTTATGTTATGTATATGCTATTGAATCAACATTGTATTAGGGTAATGTTTTCAAGACTTAAATACTTACATTTCATCAATTCAGTGTAACTGTAATGTCAAAATATTTTAAAGAGAACTGGGAAACGACCACTTTAATAACATATAAAGCACTTCTTAGCTGTGATTCATGCAACATTTTTGATTTTAGATGATAAAGAAAATTAAAAATCATGATGTATTGGTTAAAACATCTAATAGTTGCTTTTGGAGGAAAATGGTAAAGAGCGGGTAGATTAAAGCCCTATATTCAACTGCTCCAACTGCTAAACGATCTCATCATCGCATGGAGAAGGAGGTAAGTTATGTAGTTATGAAAAATTCTAGATCAACTAAAAGCAGCATTATTATCTTGGCAAATTGGTCAACTGATTGTATTCGTTCTTATATTTAAAGGTGATCTGTTGAGGAACAAGCAAACAATAGGTGACAAGCGACAAACCTTTTTAAAGCCTTAAACTTGAACTTACTGCAGTTGACTGTACTATTGAATTTTAACTTTGCTGGTTGTGGTCAAACTAGTAAAATTATACATGATTTGTTTTATAGTTATTACTTATACAAGCTAAGCAGTACAAATAGATGATGGTCTAGCAAAATAATAATAATAAAAAAAGATTTATCAGGTTAGTTTGACTTCAAGATTTTAAGAGAGCTAAATATCTACAAAGCAAACTGTGTGTCTTAAAATCTGTATTTGCCCTCAGGTCTTTTTAAATGTGCACTGCAATGCAAAAAGATGTTGCATCTGCCATTCAGCAATTCAAAGAGGCTGAGAGAAAGAGGAGGGACCTCAAGTACAAGAAGTATTGCTGAGATACTTCATTTCACTCACTGTTTAATTTGCAAGACATGCTGTGATATTAGATTTCACTTTATATGTTTTATCTGTAGTTTCATAAATATTCCCAGACACATTTAACCATTTTCCTTATTGGAAATGTTAAATGTTGAGTCAACATTTTTCTAATTTAATTTGTCTAAATGATGGCACATTTTTTCTTGAACCCTATTTACATGTTAAGAACAATATCTTGTTGCACAAGAGAAAATGTTCTCTGGTTTCTGGTGGTCAATATAACAAATAAAATTCTTCAAATTCAGTCTACAGCAAAGACACAATAACACTCACTGCCATTGCACAACTAAAAATACCTGATTGAATAATTGTCGCAGTGTGCTAGGTAATAGTCCATTTGATACTTTGGTACTTGATAGCCGCACACTCCCTTGTTTAATCTTAACTGCTTGTCTTGTGGTGTGTTTACGTCATATCAGAAGAAACCAAAGAATGAGATGTTGTTGCCACAACTTGAAAATGTTAACACATGTTGGAACACCAACACCCAAAGCCAATTGTATTCATGACTTCAAAATCAATTAACTGCAGTACATATCATTCACTTTTGATAAATATTAAAACATTTGTTCAGCATACATCAAAACAAATGTTTCAATAACTGTTATAAGTGTGATTCTTGTTATTGGACAAACTTTCTGTGGTATATGGAAAATGCTGAATCTTGCAAAAGCTTTCCACATGTCCTACTGTATGCATTCCACTGGGGGGGTTGATGTTTTTCCATTTTCCATGATAGCCATGCTAGCGCCTCTGTTGGTCTCAGTGGATAGCAATGTTGGTCCACTGTTGAGTTAAAATATCTCAACATCTACTGGGTGGATTGGCATTACATATTATACAGACATCCAGGCTTGTTTTTTTTTTAATGTATTTTCACTTTTGTTTTTAATTGTTTTTAATTGTTGGATCCATACAACTTGGATGGAATGCAAATTGGTACATAAAGCACCATCATAAGTCAAATTTAATTTTGTCCCGTGCTGGGTGCATGACCATATGCAAAACTAATGACATTCCCATTAGCCTCAACTGTACTTTTTGTTTAGTGCTAATCAGAAAAAGTAAGCATGCTAATGTGCTGCACTATGATGGTAGACATTACCTGCTAAACATCTACATGTTAGCATTCTCATCACGAGCATGTTACTATGCTGATGTTAGCATTTAGCACAACCTCACAGAGCCCTTAGCATGACTGCATGACTCTTAGGCTTGTTTGGAACTGTTATCCTGATATCGGCTACATGTCAAGTCATGCATAATCAACAATTTGCACGTAGGTATTGCATTGCAGTTTAATTGTCTGAGTTTATCATTGTTAAATAGCAGCTCAGGTCATCAACGCTGACATGTAGCAACAGAGAATAATGTTGTTAACTGCAATGATCTGTCTTGTTAAGAGGTCAAACTTCATCTGCTTTAGATGTGGTGCACATGACATGCGTCCAGCCTGAACTGACCTTGCTGGAGAAAAGCCCCTGAGGTATAAACCCTAGACCTACATTGCACAACATCACAGCAATATTTGGATCAGAATTAGTTAGCATGATGGTGAAATGAGATGAAAATAACTGTAATCAGATATCATCTTAGCAATTGCAGTGCAATGCTGTTATTTCCCAGGTTTTACCCAACGTACCAAATGATCCAGCTGAAAAATATTTACATTGAGCTGGAAGGGGGGGGGAAATCAGTCACTGAACTAACAGACAGCTATCCTCTATGAATTACTCTAATTTATATCATTAACTGAAGGTGGCTATGCCTCTCTGCATGTGAGCTGCTGGGAAGCATTTTCTTTTTCCATCTCCCTCAACAAACTATTCCTTTAAGCTCAGATCCAGTTTCTTTCCAGTCATGCAACATTAACTGCACTTTAAAAATCAGTAGCTTGATGTTCATTCTCACAAATTAGGCCATTAACGTCATTGGTGTGCCAGGAACAGCACTCACATTTTGATGCCAATGTATCAATGAGAGCTTAAAGAATGAGTTCCTCTTTTATAACCACCTCAGCCCTTTTTTTGTTTTGAAAAGGATCACTATGGATCTCTGGTACCTCGATGACTTCCAGAAAAGTTAAAAACCTGGAACACTTTTGCAGGATGTTTTCAGCAATGAAGAAAAAAACAATCTAACTGTAAAAGAACTGACCACACTACTCCAGCTTATGTTCACTTTAACCAGTGTTTTATTTCTACACAATAAATGACAGCAAAATGAACATGATACTCATCTTTATGACTCTTCCTTATGAAAATATAGTACACATCAGACATGTTTTGCCATGTACCAGAGCACCAAAAATATATATAATTGCAACTGTGAAAACAGAGAGAAACATCAACTGAAACATAAAAGTCCAATATGTTGTATATGTGCCTGAAAAAGTGCATACTGTGTAAGAACCAAAGAGAGAGGAGGCCATCAGAGGGAGGGAGGGACTACTGAGTCTGATGGCTACCTTTACAGTGTTGGTGAAATTCTCAGCAAACACAAAGGCATTGGGATAAGACTCAACAATATACAGTATGGAGCGAGGAAAAAAATGAAAGCTGGTGGTTGGTGACAGACAAATTTAAACTGAACTTTTAAATGCATAACAAATATCAATCAAGTTTGATTATGAGGATCAATTTAAACAGACTCCTAAGACCAGAAATGACCATTATGATTTTATTCATCTTGACAACAAATAAATAATTTATGACTCAATGGATAAATTCATGGTTTAGACAACTGACAACAGTGCTTGTACTAAGCCATTATGAACAAATAAATGCTGACAGCAAGTGGTGTGGTAAAGCATCACAGGTCTTTTTTTTTTCTTTCTTCTGTCTTGCAGGTGATACTTTGACACAATGCACAACATATTCACGGTTCATCTCTTTGTATAATAGTTATGATAAAAATCGATCCAAGAGCTACTCCCAAACAGTTAGTACATGGTTTGCAAATACAATCATCATATAATATTATTATTTACATCTTAAAATATATTTGTTGAGCAATCGGGTACGAAACATTGCAGTAATACCACTAGATATCCATATAATATGTAAATACACTTTTTTTGTACTTCCCACTTAGAAAAAAAGGACAATTCACCTTTTTTTATTTATTGAGGGATTAGGAAATAGACATAAGTGGACCATTCAATAACCAGAGGCCTGTGAGAGGTACTTTATGTGTTACAATACACAAAGAAAAAGTCTTACAACAAGATGGCACATCAGTATTTTTCTCCACAATGATCTGAGCAAAAATATTAGGGCTTCAGAGACTCTTTCTTATTCTCCCCATCGCTTTGTAATGAGTTAGACACTACAAAGTTTCTGCCATTTTTAGACGAGCAATACAACAACCAGGTGTTAAATTAGAAACAAAGGAGCAACTGTTGGTGGAAAATGTGGAGAGGTATCAAAGCCTGTCAAAAAAGACTGCTACACAAATCATATTATGTGATAAGCATAGGCGCTAGGTGAGGAGAACTGTGTTCCTTCAGCCTAACTTCAAAAGGCTCTGTAAGCTGGGCAAACATCCTCTCGCATTTTCACAGGGCCAGCTTGACCCTGGCAGCCCTGTGCAGGCATACCTGACAGTGACAGATGAGGCAGTGTGTCGAGGATTGGGGAGGTGGAGGTAGGAGGGGTGAGGGAGGGGGTGGTGGGAGTCCCAGAGAGGGATGGCTGCCACCCCCGGGAGAAACTCTGACTCATTGGCCTCGGCTTGTTGCCAGTCAGCGCTGGCCACCCCTGGCCCAGGGGCAGCCTCTGTGAGTACACATTTTCACACCTGGACAAATAGCAAGACAGGCCAGAAAAAGCAGCCCACCCATCCCTACCTCTCTCCCTGCCCACCTTCTACTTTTCCCCCGATCCAAGAACACTCTATCTGGGGCACCATCGGCTGCCTTCTGACCTCCAGTCCTTCTTTTCATTCATTTCTGATCCCTCTCTTTGCCACTTGTCCATTTTCTCCTGCCCTCAGCTGGATGTGTACATATATTCCTTGCGCCTTACGCTGGTCTCTCAAAACATTATTTGCTATATGGATGTATGTACTTGACCATTATATACTTGGTTCTCTTTCACACCTCCTTCTACGTATGGCTAATGTGTGCATTTAAAAAAATAAGCAAATAAAGAAAAAAATAAAACTTTACATTCTGGTTTTAAAGGAAAACAAAAAGTTCCACTGCACTCAGTAACATTTGAACATGTGGTAAATCCTCATTGGATGCAAGCAGTGTCCATCTACACTTAATGACCAATGAGACAAGTTCTTGTGTGGTTGTGGGCCTGAAGTGTACTGTATGTCTGATCAATGCTTGACAGCACTGATCACAACAGAGTGTGAAGACAAAATGACAGTTTTGACTCACAACCAATAATGTTTTTGTTTATAAGAACAATGTAAAAAATAACTTACATGGACATTAAATATAACTTAAAAAAGTATAACACTCTCAATAAATAGTTCTACTATTTACACCATTGTTATGAGACGCAAAAATGTCACTAAAATACCAAAAATATAGAAGCAGCAAACATTACAGGCATGAGGTACAGCAAGGGATCCTGTGATGACTACAGTAGAGAGGTGATGTCCTCATCCAATGCGTAATCTTATACTTCCTTCCATGAATATCTTTGTTAGCTATGGCTTATGGGTACCTTCTCCAATATTAAGAATATAATTTTTCAAGTTGACATGATGTCACATTCTGCAGCCGTTCTGATAGTTTGTTTTGGTATCCAGACATTGACTCATGATACAAGTAATTGTTGAGGATGATAGTTATAAGTTAGTATGTGGAAGCAACAACAGGTTATGTTAACTCAGTTTATAGAATGAAGGGATGGATTCATCCATTCAAACGGCTAGAATGGCTTAGTGACCTCAATGGCAGATGTTAAACTACTTTACTGCATGTCATTGGCATAATGTAGTGATTGCAGGTCAGTCTCTCCCCACTGGTAACAGTTCTATGTAAAGCAGCAGTATCTGGAGTACTAATATTACGTATAATTTGATAATATCAACATAATACAAGTCTTCTTTTTTTTACCAGGGCTATATTTTTTTTCATATAAAGTGTTAAATGCTTCTTTGAAGATGATGTAGACTTTACAATGTCCTTACAAAGTTTCATATTTCATAAAAGTTACAAAGTCTTTCAAGAGTCCCTTTTTTAATGGGAATTCCTTAATTTAAGCTTTTCCTTCCCCTTTGACATCTCTTGGTTTGTCTGCCAAAATGTACACCTTAAACTAAGATTATGTATTACACACACATCAGGGGCAAAACAAAAGACAAACATGGACCATGTGACCATTTCTAATGTATTGATGTGTGTTGATGTTTTTTTTTGGGGGGGGGGGCTGTATGGATGATGGATATATGGTTCATAGTGACAATACCTCCCTACATCATTGATAACATCGAATGCAAAGTCAGTATAGGTTCCAGAGGAGTATCGCCAGATACAAATAAAACAAATGGCAGGAAAGCTAATAGCAACACAGGGAGTCAAACAACCTAATATCATACAGTTTGTTTCAGATCACCATTCTGACAATAGCAGCTTCTAAACATTTTTGAAAGATATACTTTTTCTTCTTACATGGAAACTAAAAGTGCAGTAACTGAGGTCAATAATACAAACACTGATTAAATATGACATTTTGTAAAAATGAAGTACATGAAAACAAAAAAACCTAAAACATTTTTCAACGCTCCTGTCCATAAAGAACATATAGTAATATTTACATGATGTTTTTTTAGGTTTTTCTTTGTATTTGGTGGAAAATAATACCTTCTCACTTTCTCTGCATGTTGTGGTATTGTCTTAGTTCTTCACTAACATTGGTTTGAAAATGACATGAAATTGGTCTTACATTGCCACTTTTACAATTTGTTGTGTACAATGATTTATGAGAATGATCTGAATGCTATAGCAGCCTAATATGAGTCAGAGGGACTGTGCCATTAGCCCAAATGAAATGAAAAGGCATAATCATGCTGATTGTCACCATGACTATGGTTGCAGCCAAATAAGAGCAGCAAAGTTTGGACCAATATGTCAAGCAGCCTTCTTTATCAAATGTGCATGAGAAAAAACTAGTGTATGTTTGTCTGGAATAAAGAGTAACAAAATACAAAGCTACTGTAGCAGCCATATAATCTACAGAAGTTAATTGGTGGGGACGGACACCCAAGTTAACAATACTGAAAAGTGCTGATCAGAGCAACCAAGTGCACTTTTTACTGCAGAGACAAATTAAATTAATTAAAATTAAATTAATCACTTAAACACAAGACCCAGTAGAGAATCTAAGGGACCTTTGATCATATTGTGACTGCAAATGCTGTGTTGACATATACATCCAAATGTCATTTTCATGCACAACGTTGTTGCCTGCAGAGCTACAGCTGAAAGTCCAATACTACCGGGTAGGGGAGAGAATGAGAGATATGTGTGTATGCATTCGTTTGTTCATGTGTGTATGTGTGTGTGTGTATGTGTGCGTGTGTGTGTGTGTGTGTGTCAGATGTGGTCTCCTTCCATCTATACTCATTCTCACTAAGAGCCATGGCCTTTATCCAGCCCTTTATTTCTGTACTCTTGTGTGACTGTGCTATGCAGAACTGTGCGATCAAAAAAGCCACAGACTCCTGACAAGCATTGACTACATTCTGAACAGGGCCGGGATAATTTTACTTTCAGTTTAAACATTTTAAATCAGTGCTTGAGGTAACAAAGTTCTTATCAAGCGCCATGAGGGAGGAGTTCAAACTGAAACTAAAATCAACCTAACCCGAAGTGAGGTGTTATGGATGACATTCTTTAAGTCGTGATCAATGTATGTAGTATTTTTCTTGGGCAGGTTAAACGGGAATTACAAGTGAGGTTCTGGGTTTTTTTTAAAGTTCTTAGTGCATTTCATACGTGGTGCTGTCAACATGTATTCTCTAAAAGTATTATGGACCAACATGCAAGCGTGAATGAATGCTATAAAGAGGTACTGTAAGCAGCAAGGCAGACAAAGCTGTCTAACCCTATTAGATATCATGACGTAAAGATGGCAAGTAGCAGCAAACACAGTAGCAGAAGCCATGCTAAAAATGTTTTAATTATGTATTCAGGTTTTTTTTTTTGCTCTAAGTATAAAATTGTCTTAGGAAATTGTGTCTGTGGTTGGTCAACAATTAGTTGACATTTTTTGTGTGTGTTTGTGCATTTTATTTTGGCTTTTGTGTTGAATGTGTGGATTGAAACTTAACAATATGGCTGTCTCATTCCCCACCAAGCTAGGAATAACCTCTATACCCTCTGATGTGCCTATGAAGAAACAAACTTTACTGAAAAGGACATAGAGATACAGAATGTCTGACCAGTCTGAAACCAGGAATGATATAAGCACAAACTTCAACCCCCTTCAAAATGGTGTTTAACATGCCTTCAAAGTGTCTGAGGATTATTTTTAACATTTGTCTTGATTTCCTTCATATTTGCAAAACACAGAGCCAACATCAACACAATCCCCCACTTGCACATTTTGATTTACCTTTGGTTCAATCATGTGATTGTAGAGCAAGGTCACTAAAATAGACACTGAAGCCAGCACAAAACTGAACAAAAGGCATGCTACCTAGGCTTGGTTATGTTTTTGTTTAGGTTTTTTTGTTTGTTTGTTTTCTTATTCTTTCAAAGAAAAAAAAAATCTGCTTCATGTAATTAATTTTTTTTCTCCTTACTATATATGTTTTTTTTAATGATGATATTGCAGGGTTACTTTCCTTTTAGCTGACAAATGAAGTTTTCTGTGGAGTCTCATGAGTCCCAGCCTCTATTCTAGAACTTTCTGTGATGTGGAGGCGGAGGCATTTCAGCTGGTTGGGGTTGCAGTATGGATGGAGAGGTATGCCCGTTAAGCAGCATGTGCAGGAAATTGGAGGCCGAGAGGAGGATGAAGGAGGGGGTCTGCCTCGGCCACTCTGGCTGTGTTGTGTTGGAGCAAGGATCCTGGAACGTTGAACAGAGGTCCCTGATCAGGTTGGTCACCCCAGGGAATGGACGTGTTCATCCTTTCTGTTCTCTATAGCGTTGGGATCCCGACAGGAGCACTCATCCCGTATGTCGCAGGACATGGGGAATGGAATCACCTGTGTGGGAGAGAAAAAGATACTCACATTCATAAAAGTGTAATAGCCTCTACGACCCAATGGCTTATTGGCTCAAACCCACAGCAATGCATTAATATTACAGATTTCAAGTTTCCAGAAACACCAAATATGTCATGCTGAAGTCCAAGGAAATACATAAAAATACCCCTAGATTGCCCCTAGAAAGACATTAACCTGATTGGACCCCACTAGGATGACATTTCTGTTTCAAAAATTAAACCATTTTCTAACTTCGGTTAAGGTTTGGCAAGATTTGAGTACAAAAACGACTGAAGCAATAGTTTGTTAAGGTTAGGGGACTTTTACCATCATGGTCCCAATAAAAACCATATGGTTAAGTTTGGATTGTGGTGCTGATTTAAAAACATTGAATATCTGAAATGGGTAAAGAACAGCAGCCACCCCTGTCCTATTATTTTGTTGTCCATCCACCCTCACTTCCTCCCTCCGTGGACTGTGTCGCTCTATAATGGCTCTAATATTCTTCCTTGGCCATTGTCTCATGGACATAAAAAATATGTTGTTAAGGCACTTGATGAAACAACTGATTATATTGTCTCATAAAATCTATAATTTTTCCATATAATGTAATGGTGTTATTATGGTGTTACAAAGGTACGGTAGCAAGTAGATGGCAAGTAGACAAGTCAAAGACAACTATAATCTGTGAGGCAAGCCGCTCAGTTAGTTGTCTCAATGGAAGAAACTGCCATGTAACCAAATTTGAAAAAACTATCAATTGTTACTGTTTATGTCACTATTTTATCTTGCTTTTGTACTATATTTGTAATAGATGACATACACATCAGCTAGCTTTCCCCATCTCTCTCTTCGTCAGATGCACCCACACACACACACATACACAAGCTAGCTTACTCAATTCTCTCTTCTCATAGTTGATGTAGACCAGATTTTTGCAAATATTAAACAGGTTTGAAATTAAATTGGCGTGGTTCTCATTAGACCATTTTGTAATGGGTACACAAACTCAGTGTACAAAGTGTACCTAAACTCAGAGCTAAACTGTCAACAGTCTCAACAGTTGAGCATGCAGTCATGCAGTATGATTTTTTTTCTTCTTCTTAAGTCTACTTGAAGTCCTTGCAGGAAATGTTTTGGTGCATTTGATGTTCATTAGGCAATATATCACAATCTCAGAATATCAGAAACATTGATATGCCAGTTTAGTTTGATGTCAAAGTGAAATACTGTAGGTGAAAATAGAACCGGAAGATCAGTGGCCATTGCCCCTGGCGTTTGACGTCACTGGATAACGTTGGTAATGCGTCACCAGCACCAGCTGCTGCTGCCTTGTCTGCTCGCCTCTCGGGGGGCCTACTTCAGCTGTTTGGGTACACAAAATGTGTCCCCCTTCTCCAGGCCAAACAAGGAACACATGTGGTCCGAGTCATGGAAGGCAGGCAGCAGACCAAGGGCATGTCTGCATTTGTGTCCTGGTGGCTTATCAGATCAATCTATGGGTCTTGCGTGCGGTGTTGCTTTTTCTTGTTAGGGCTGTGTGGTATTCCCTTTTTTGCACAATGGATCTCTGTATACAATGTAAATGTAACAACAATACTGGCCACCTTAACCACCACAGATACTTAGTTGACAGCATGCCTAATGCCAAAATCCGCAATTAGTTTAGTGCTATTAGTGAAAGCCGTCTGGCTGCTATGGGAGGACTTGTTTTTTTAAGGGGAGGGTCATGGTGCTATTATCTGAATATGGAGTAGCTGCTGTATAGTTACCCAGACTACTACTGTTATGCCATCAAACAAATTGCATCAAAGGCTAATACTCTCTGGGAGGGCTAGTCAGGTAATTACTAAATGCATTAGCAAAGAATGAGAAAGAAATAAGAATTTCCCATCTACTAAAAGAAGCATTCTTAACAATGGCGTCCATTATATGCTTTGGACTCTGAATCTGACTCAGGGAGTGAGTCAGCGTCAAACTGACTAAACATATAAATCCAATTGCATCTTGTTATGGTAAAAATATTAATAGAAATCCTATTGTGAAGTTGTGACAGGTAGCTTATCACTGTTTCATTTTTTTTATCGGTTTTCACAGAAAAATACACACATTTCTTAAAAGGAGCAGATCCATTTAAGCTGATTTTGATAGATTATTGCTCCTATGTGCCTAAAGGTTGTTCTGTTTCCCACAACAAGAAGATACTAACCACTACTAAACAAGTTCCTTAGCCTAGAAAATCTTTTAAATAATAGTCTTTTCTAAAAAAAACAAATTTACTTTGTGTAAGTAAAGTTTATTTGCATGGCACATTTCAACAACAAAGCAAGTTATACACATTGCTATGCTAAGCATATATTTATTTATTTAAAATAAAAACTAAAATAATGAGCCCTACAATTAGTCTTACATTTTGTGTCAGATATCAGTGTAAAATGTTACAGTGGGTGGTAAATGTAACACACAGGAAACACCACCAATGGTTTGCGAGAGTCAGTGATTTGTAGACAGCAGGTCTGAGGAATGACATAAGGGGAGCATGCTAGTCACTGAGGAGCAGTGACGCAGGCTCCCCTTTGAAACTGAGTATAAAGTAAGTTGTGTGTGTTTGTGTGTGTGT